TATAACAATAGAAAAAAGAAACTAAACGCACAATAAGATGAAGAAGAAAAGAGAAACTAAAAAATATATAGAAAAAACAATAGAAAAAAGAAACTAAAACACACCAAAAGAAGAAAAAAAAGAAACTAAAAATCTAGAAAAAATAAAAAAAAAGATAGAAATAAAAAACAAAAACTGAAAAAAAACAAACTAAAAAACAACAACAACAAAAAAACAAAAACGAAAAAGAATTCAACGCTCTCACCCTTCACATTAACAACCTCCCACCCCTCCCCCTCCCACCACCCCACCCTTCCCCCGCACGCACACACACAGAGCAGTCTCGGAGCGTGAAGGGTTGACGGGGAAATGGAAAACAGAAGGGGAAACATGGCTATTCTTTGTGGTCTTCGCGGCTTTCAAGATATGCAAATTCCTTCAGGATATCTAGAGGACGCGACGCTGGGGAATTTTCCGCAGGGGGGAGGGAAGGGAAAGGAAGGAGGGGAGGGAGGAATGGGAGGGAAGATTGGAGGAAGAGAGGAGGGAAGGAGGGGAGGGAGGGAAAGGAGGGAAAGGAGGGGGAGGGAGGGGGAAAAAGGGTTGGAGGGAGAGGGAGGAAGGAGGTTAGGGACGGAGGGGAGGGAGGGAAAGGGATGGAAGGAGGAGAAGGAAGGAAAGGAGGGAAGGAGGGAAAGGAGGGATGGAGGGAAGGAGGGAGGGGAGGAGGATAGGGGGGGAAGGGAAAGGAGGAAGGAGGGAAGGGAAAGGAAGGGGAGGAGGGAGGATAGAGAGGAAGGAAGGGAAGGAGGGGGGAGGGAGGTAAGAGAAGGGGAGGGAGGGAAGGGGAGAATGGGTAGGGAGGGAAGGAAAAGAGAGAAGGAAGGGGAGAGAGGGAATGAGGGGAGGGAAGGAAAGGGAGAGAGGGTAGGGAGAGAGAGGAAGGGAAAGGAGGGAAGGAGGGGAGGGAAAGGAGGGAAGGAGAGGGAGGGAAAGGAGGGAAGGAGGGGGAGGAGGAAGGGAAAGGAGGGAAAGAGGAGGGAGGGAAGGAGGGGGAGAGAGGGTGGGGAGAAAGGAAGGGGGAGAGGGAGGACAGGAAACAAGGGAAGGAGGGAGGGAGGATTTTTGAAAGAGGGAGGGAAGGAGGATAAAAGGAAAAAGAAGAGAGAGAGAGAGAGAGAGAGAGAGAAGAGAGAGAGAGAGAGAGAGAGTGAGAGAGAGAGAGAGAGAGAGAGAGAGAGAGAGAGAGAGAGAGAGAGAGAGTGTCAAGTAGGGAGAAAGGGCAGACAATGCGAGAGGACGAGAGACCGGGAGAGGGCAAGACTTCTAGATTTTTCCCCAAGTGTTTCTCAAGAGGTCAGTCAAGAAGTTTGTCTCCCTCTTCAGCCAGGTGCGAACTTTTCCCCCTCGCCATTGTGTACAGGGAAGGAATGGAAACAAAATCACGCTAATATCGGCTCTATTGCTATATCAACCGTAATACCGTATACAACCGTAATGCTTCTAACTGATGATTTAAATTGTTGAGGGTAATGTTAAATCAACTATTGCTATACTACCCTTATGCTTCCGAATGATTATTTAAATCGTTGATGGTGATGTTAAATCAATTAGTACATCTGTTGTTTAAGATCAAGTGTTGCCATCTTCTTATTTATTTCTTATTATTTTTTTCGTTATCATCCCTATTATGGTTATTTTTGTTTTTGTTTGTTCTTTGTATAGCTGATATCGGTTTTGTCATTATTATGATTATAATTATTATTGTTAATTTTTTTGTTGGTATCATTATTATCATCATCATTATTGTCATTTTTATTATATCATTATTATCATTATAGTATTAATAATAATAATCATATATTTGCATTATATTAATATGCAATGTATAATCTTATTTAGAGTAATCTATTATTTTATATTATTTACCACTTTTTGTTCTTGTTAATCTTGGAGGGGAGTCGATCAAGGTATTAACTTATTATTGCCAGAATGGTTAAAAATAGACGTGTCCATTGTGTGTATGTGTGTGCGTGTGTGTGTTTGAGTGAATGAGTTTATGAGTGTGTGCATGTGTAATGATAACAATAATAATAATGATGAAGAGTTTATTGCGTAAAGTTATAGTTACAAAAGTAAAATTGTTACTTTACGAAGTGGGTATTTAAGTATCTAAAACAATAGGGTATAGACATATGATATCTGGATATATGACACTTTGGGTCACGTGACTTGTTGTTGACATCCACAGGGATCTGTTTTCTTGGTTGGTGCAGGTCAGGAAGCAGATTCTGAGGTCTTGTGGATTTTAAGATGTTGTCGGAGATTTTTTCGATTAAGAAGTTTCTCCGGTCTTTTCAGGAAGGCTCCGTAGTTGATTTAGCGCATGTGTATGGGGTGTAGTTTGATCCAATTAAGATGCGTAAATGTTCTTTTTTTAATAAATTATTTTTTTTCGAAGTTGGTAATGGACCGAATGCCAGACTGGTGTTGCATATTCACAAATTTGGTCGCATGAAAGTAGTCCATATGCGTGGTCGGTCATCATGGGATGCACCGGAGGATTTTAAATCTAATTAGCATATAAAACTTCCCTCCGCCCTTTGTGATCATTTTGGTGGTATTCCCGAATCACTTTAGGTCATCACTGATCACTATTCCTAAGAGATTCACCTGTATGGCGCGTGTTAAAAAGCCCGTCACCTATTTTCAGAACACTATCACAGTCGGCTAATTTGTTGAATTTAAATTTTGATTTTGTGCAAGTCTTTTTGACGATGCCTATTCTCACAGTTAGTTGATGGCATCTTGTAATAAGTTGAAACAAGCTGCCCTGTCCTGGTTCGTGTGCGAGCGCAGGTGTCATGTCGTCCACAAATCTGTAGATCTTCACGTGCGGAATTTCGTCCTCATTAACCATTATCAGGAATAATAATGGGCTGAGGACCGCTCCTTGAGGGACACCGCCGTCAAGGTTAATCTCATCGTATGCTTTGTTATTTGCACGAGTCCTCTGGGAGTCCTCTGGGGGCGGAGGTGGATGGAGGAGGAGATCCATTCCATCCAGGCCTCGGGGAAATCCCAGGGAAATAATTTTCTTGATTAAGGCGGTGTGGTCGACGCGATCAAATGCTTTCCGCAGGTCGATGGTGACGGTGGTATCCTCCAGTCGCTCGTCTACGTCTGAAGTGATATAATTGGTGAGATGAACCAGGTTGTGAACAAGTGGAGCTTCCTTCGATGTTCCCGAAAGAGCGGCGATCTAATTTTGGGGTAAAAGCTTTCCATAATTCCTGAGCGATTATTCTCTTGACTATTTTGCACGGAATTGCTGCTAGTGATATAGGCCTAAGGTCATCCAGAGAATTAGGTGGATTTGTCTTAGGAATTGGGGCTGTGATAGCACTCTACCACAGACCAGGTCCCGCGCCCTCAGTGATGGAGCTATTAAAGATGTCACATAGGGGGGTGGGGGCGAGCTCGGGAGTGAATTCTCGCAGTAATATTGGCCGGATGTCATCAGGGCCAAGAGATTTACGTTTTGCTCTCCTTGTTAAATGCTGATAGATGTCATATTCGCTTACAGTTGCTTGGAGAGGCCGCGAGGGAAAGTAAGCTGGCAGCTCTATGTGTGTGTGTGTGTGTTTGAGTGAGTGAGTGAGTGTGTGAGTGTTGTGTTGTGTGTGTGTGTGTGTGTGTGTGTGTTGTGTGTGTGATGTTGTGTGATTGTGTGTGTGAGTGTGTGTGTGTGTGTGTGTGTGTGTGTGTGTGTGTGTGTGTGTGTGTGTGCGTTACGTGAGTGTGTGTGCGTAGTGTATGCATGTGTATATGTATCCATAAATACCTACCATTCCTACCTATCTCACCTGTTCATGCTTTCCCTTAATCTCTTAATAGTCAATATTTTTAGAACTTATGAGACCCCAATGACAATACTAATAAAAACATGGGATATATATATAGCATATGCAGAATATGTTCTCTTTCATAATGTCGATGGTAATAATAATATCGGTATTAATAGTATTAGAGAATATAATTTCCATAGTGTCAAAGATATTAATAACATCGAATTTTAAGAATAAGGAAAAAAGTCACTTATTCCTTGAGCACGCGAAATGATTGCACACGTAAAATACAATAGTTCATTTATTGAAATAGATAATTTTTTTTCAAGAAACTACCATAATTTCGATTAATATTCGAATATAATTTTATCACATTATTTCATAATCATATATTGAAATAAGCATGATTTTGAGAGAGAGAGAGAGAGAGAGAGAGAGAGAGAGAGAGAGAGAGAGAGGAAGAGAGGAGAGAGAGAAATCCCAAGAATTCTTCGACTTCTTTCATCCTTCTTAGCAATATTCATTTAATCTTCTTTCACGACGTATGTTACTGCAAGATCGAGTGTCTTAAAAAGTGATTTATCATCATATTATCTTGAAAGCAGAAGCAAAAATGGAGAGAAAGATTGCATGGGTGGATGATTTGGAAGGAGAAAATGAAGAGGGAGGGAATGAGGATGGGATGAAATGTGAAACTGGCAAACCCATTAGAGATAGAGAAGCTTCGGTAATCACAACACATCTTTTTATCATTCGGAAAATCACAATACATCTTTTTATCATTCGGAAAATCACAATATAAATATTTATCATTCGGAAAATCACAATACATCTATTTATCATTCGGAAAATCACAATCAATCTATTTATTCGGAAAATCATAACTTATCTAGTTATCATTCGGAAAATCACAATATATCTATTCATCATTCGGAAAATCACAATCAATCTATTTATCATTCGGAAAATCACAATAAATCTATTTATCAATTTGATTTGTGGTTGATTATTGTTCAAGTATGTTATGTTGCTAATTTATTTTCTCCTTTTGTTTCAGGTATGACGCACAGCTGATCCAGACAAGTTTTGCCTCCGTGGTGCCCGTGAGGATGCCAGCCGATGCCTGAGAGTGATTCCTTTTAGTCCTCACACTGCGGCGAGAGCGGCAGAAAG